AAAGGAGAGTCACGATTGTAGTGTAATACTCGGAGGGTGCCTTCGGGGAGTGGATGTTGGTCGAGTTGACCGAACCACTATAAATTTTTGTGTTCTTTTTTGTTGCTTCCGTACTTTATTTTCCGCACTTATTTTTGTGGTGTGATTTTGGTTTATGTGATTTTCACTTCTTTGTGAAAAGATTTTTTAAAAGATACCAATTCACCCCCCCCTTCTTGGTTAGCTTGGGCCAGTTCTATAGGGCTTAACATTCCTATCGAACTTTCAAATTCTACTCTTACTTGATTAGATACATGGTGGAGACAAAGGGCCAAAGTCAAAAGGATAACGGAAGGAGATCAAAATTCAAATTTCTTTCAAGCTTATGCATCTGCTAGAAGAAATTCAAAATTCATTTCTAAAATCAAAGACGGTTTGGGAGAAGTAATAGAGGATTAGACTCTTATTCATAAGGTCTTGCTAGACCATTTCACAGAAAAATGGAGGTACCGAAGATGCAGTTTGGAAAATTGGCCGAATTGCTGAAGCTGCCTTGAAGATTAAGACAGAACTAACCTGAGCAAGGAATTTTTGATTGAAGAAATGATTGAAGCAGTGAAGAATATGAGCAACAACATCTCCCTAGGAATAGATGGTATTACTTTCTCTTTTTTCAAAGCTTATTGGATTATCATAAAGATGATTTATGGAATGCCATTAAAATGTTTTTTTATACCTCTGTTATGGATCATATATGGAAGGAGACTATTATTGTTTTATTCTCAAAATCAGTAATCCTCTAACTCCCTCTAATTATAGACCGATTATTTAATGTATTTCAGTTTACAAAGTGGTGGCAAAAATTTTTATGAATAGACTGACTCCAATCATGCATAAACTAATCTCTGAAGAGCAAGCGGCTTTCATCAAGGGTAGATCCTAGTCCGACCATGTGTTAATAGCTCAAGAGGTCATACACAAACTTAGAATTTCAAATTCTAAAAAAGAGTTTGTTTCTTTTAAAGTTGATATGGAACAAGCTTATTATTCCATGGGTTGGCTTACCTTGGAAAAAGCTTTGAGCTATTTTGGTTTTCTTTGTTTCTTCTCTAAGCTGATTTTAGAATGTATTAAAAATTCTAAATTCTCTATATCTATCAATGGTAGCTTTTCAAATTGGATTGAAGGTCAATGTGGCTTTAGACAAGGTTGCCCCTTGTCTCCTTATCTCTTCATTCTTTGTGCACAATTATTATCAAATGCTTTCAAACAAAGATGTGCTTCATTAGGAGTTCGAATTTGTGCAAATGGACCTTCTATTTCTCACTTCCTATATGCAGATGATGTGATCATCTTCTCATAAGCCACTCTTAAAGCTACCAAACAGATTAAATATGTTTTGGCAAATTTTTTCAATTGGACAGATTTGTCCATCAACATAAATAAGTCTTCTATGATGTTCAGCAAAAATATTAGAAGAATGAGGAGGAGATCTATTGGCCGAATAATGGGGCTCAATCCAACAAATCAGATAACTTATCTTGGAGTAAAGCTTACAATGAGAAGGTTAGTCAAAGATGATTTCATTTTCATTATTGATAAAGCATTGAGAATGACAAACACTTGGGGTAGAAGACTTATTTCTCTGGCTGGGAGAATTTTGTTAACAAAATCTGTCTTGCTTTCATTCACTACCTTTCATTGTACCAACTCCCTTGTTCCCAAAAGTATTCTTTATGAAGTAGATAAAATTTGAAGAAGCTTTGTGTGGAACAAATCAAATGGTAGGAATGGCATTCACTATGTTAATTGGAAAACTATGTGCTTGCCTATCAAATGGGGAGGTAGATCCCTTCATTCTTGTTCTACTAAAGTTGGTCCTTTAAGATAAAAAATTGCTTGGAAATACTTGAATGATATAGACTCTTTTCTCCATAAAGTATTTTTTCCAAAAAATGGGAATTTGCTGGAAAAATTAGACAACAAAAACTTGGGATCATCTGCTTGGAAAATCCTGAAATCGGGTGGTAAAACTATTAGGCCTCTTATCAGATGGAAGCTGGATAATAGGTCTGACATTGATACTGTTAATGACGTATGGATTTTGGATAAGAGCATTGCTAAATGGTCAACCTTCATTGCTCCTAGTGACTGCAGCAGATTCACTGTTTCAAACTTTCTACTTAATGGAAGTTGGAATGTAGAAAATATGAAAAGATTCTTGGGAGAAGACTTGATCAATCTTATACTACAGAACATTGTCCCAAACTGCTCAAATGAAGATTGTATGGAATTGTTGTTTAAATACAATGGAAAATCTTTATCTTCTATGGTCTTTGAATTATCAGTGAAACAAGCTGAACCGAAAGAATTCTGGAAATGGTTGAAGAAAGCAAGACTAAACCCAAAAGTTGAATCCCTTTGGTGGAAAATCTTCAACAATGCTCTTCCCAGTTGTGATTTTCTGGAACACAGGAGATTACTTAGGGACAATCAATGCCCAAGGAGCTGCAATGCAATAGAAGATAGAGATCATATTGTAGCTAATTGTGAAAAACTGAAGGAAGTGATGAAACAGATTAAGGAATGGGGATTTGTTTTCCATGATTTCCATTATATACAAGACTGCTGTAATCATTTGTCTACTCAACCTCCATTCATGATTAACCTCTATTGTTCGGTGGTGTATTTTACTTGGAAATCAAGGAATAACTTCATTCACAATGGGAAGGAGGATAGTTCTCTTAGTATTTCTTCCAAAGCAATTAGCTTTGCTTCATTCTTAAATCTTGAGAATCATAGTATTACGGGTATATGGGATGTCAACCAACCTTATAGGTTGTTTAATACTCATTGGCATCCCCCTCCACCCGATTGGCTCAAAGTCAACATAGATTCTTCATTACTTTCTTCACACAAAGCCGGAATTGGAGGAGTGTTCCGTGATCATAAAGGAAGATTTCTTCTAGCATTTGGAAAACCGTACACTCATTGGGATATATCGTCTTTGGAATTTTTAGCCACACAATCTATTAAGGAGATGCTAAAGGATTGGATGTTTAAATACAAGGGAATCATCATAGAAGGAGATAATATCATTGTCATAAAGTTCTTGAAGGAAATCAAGAAGAATGGTGAACCAAGGTATGCAAATATTCATATATTTGATGAGTTTAATAATGTTATCTTCAATTGTGTTGATAGAAGTTGTAATAAGTTAGCGGACTTATGTGCCTACTATGGTATCTTGTCTTCTTTTATTTGGGATGATGTTAGTCTCAATAAGATTCATCCTTTATTTATGTCAATATTAAAGGAGGAATCATTAGTTTGAGTCTTTTACTTTGTAATAGTTTCTTATTTTTCTTTAATGCTAATCGAGTCATTTTTCTTCAAAAAAAAAAAAGAGTATGAAACATGTGAGAGAGCGTCCACAGCAAGAGATTGAGGTGATGGGACCTTCAAACCGTGCATATGACAATTCCTTGCCTTCCAGTTCATATAAACAACAATTAGATATTCTTTTACAATGTTTGGATTTAGTACAAAGAAATACTTCAACATTTTCGAGTAATCTTCATCGCCATAAAAATTTGGCAAATGAATGCCCCAATTTTCCGAAGCAGTAAAAATTTCCACAAGTTTGCTACATTCGGACGTAATATGAAAATTATCTTCCTCATTCATATAACCTCTTGGACAAGTGCTATATTCCCGAGTCTTCTATAGTTCATCCAACAATTCGTAGGTAATGAATTGTTAATAAGCCTCCACCATAACATTTTGACTTTAGCAAAAAGTTTAAATTTCTTCATCCAATTAATACTAACACTATCCTCTTCATGTATGTTTCTAGCTTGAAAAGCAATTGCAGCCATAGACTTTCGATTATTTTCATACAACAGCTCCACTTCATCAGTTCTCAGTTCTTTGTCAATGGGAGTTTTAATAATAATATCAATCATATCAACATAAAAGATATTTTCCAATGAATCCATTTTCCATTCTCCATTTTCATCTATGAACGAAGCAACATTATTGTCTTCTATATCTTGAATATTTATGCAAGTCGGCCAATCATTCAGACATCTATCCAATATCCAAGTATCATTAAGGATATTGATAGATTCTCCATTAGAAATCCTCCAACTAGTGATTTTCTTCAAAGAATGAGCACCATCTTTGATAATACGCCATGTCGTAGAAGATTTTTTCCTTGAATCATCATTCCAGATTTGATAACCATACTTTGAAGATATAATCATATTAATAAGAGAAGTCTTACTATTAATAAAATTCCAGGTAATTCTCTCTCTAACAGATCCTGTCCTCATTGCTGCTCCTTGGATACCCATCCACCTTTCTCAACTGATTTACAAAGAATGTTCCATGATATATAATTCATACCTCTCTTTCCTCCTTCTTTATGCCATAAGAAATTCCTACAACACTTATCCAGAATTTGAAGAATTCTTTTGGGAACTAGAGAATAAGCCATAGAAAACAGAGGTATCGAAGAGAAGATAAATTTCAACAAAGCAATTTTACAATCAAAGAAAGATTCCGTAGACCCCAAGCGTTAAGTTTATTGAGAGCTTTGCTAAGAATGAAATAGAAATCATTATAGTTAAGTCTTCTAACATCCAGCTTTATTCCCAGATAAATCAGTTCCTTGACTTTGTGAATACCCAAAGTTCTCCCAACAGATTTTTGGTCCATCCGAAAAACAGACTTTCCAAATAAAATTTGTGATTTTTCCTTTTTTTTTTACCATTCCATTCACAATAGTTCATCATAATCTTGTTAATACACTTTGCATTGGAAGAAGTAACTTCAGCCACAATCATTACATCATCGGCATATAACAAATGCGAAATTTAGGAATATTGGGAGCTAATTTGATGCCAAGACCTTGTCCATTCTCCTGTATATTTTTTGTTAACAATTCAGAACATAAAATAAACAAATCTGGAGACTGAGGATAGCCCTGTCTAAAGCCGCATTCAGCATGTTTCCAGTTACTTCTTTTCCCATTGATAATAATGGAAAATTTTGGAGAAGAAACACATTGCATAACAAGATTAATAAAGATCTCCAAAAATCCCATGATGTAAAGAATTTTCTTCAATGTATTCCATCCCATGCTATCATAAGCTTGCTCCATGTCCAATTTCAGCATCATAAATCTGGGCTTAGATTTAGAAAATCTTAAGTTTGTTGATTATCTCATGAGCTAGTAGACAATTATCAGAAATTGATATAGTTGGAACAAAGGCTACTTATTGTTCTGAAACAACACTTGGAATGCATACCTTCATTCTATTCCATATCATACTTGCCACCAATTTGTAAATGGTTTGGCATAAACTAATGGGTCTAAAATTTTTCATTGTTAACCTTTGGGATCAATATAACCAAAGTTTCCCTCCAATCCTCCGGCAGGCTTCTCAAATCAAAGAATGATTTAACTGCTTTCCACACTTCTATATGATAGATATTCCAATAGCTTTTAAAGAAGAAGGCATTAACGCCATCATTCCCTGGAGACTTATTATTCTCCATTTTTTCCAAGATAGCCACCAATTCATTTTTACTGAATTCTGCCATAAGCAAATTTTGTTGTTCTACATTCAATTTTTTAAAACATTGCTCCATAGGCCATCCTTCCAATGAACAATTTTTAAATTTCCATTTGCTCTGGAAAAAGTCTTCAAAAATGCTATGAATTTCATCCTGATCATTAACTAGAATGCTATCCAATTTCTTAATCTGATGAATAAGATTACCATTCCTTCTGGAATTTGCAAAATTCTAGAAAAAATGGGAATTTTGATCTCCCTCTTCTAACCATTGAGCTCTAGATCTCTTCCTCCACCACATTGCTAATCTAGCAAGAGTTGAATTAAGGTAATTAACCTTCATTATCAAAACAGCCAACTTATCAGGAGAAAGTCCTGATTCACTTTCCTCAACTTGAAGGGCTAAGATATCTTCATGTAACTCCTTCTTTAATACATTAAGATCCAGTAGTTTCCTCTTGCTCCAAAAGAACAAAATCTTAAGAGATCTGGCTATCTTCCTTTTAAGGACATCCGAATTAGAACCAAAATAAGATTTATTCCAAGTTTTTTTGACCTCACCCTATGAGGCTTTATAAGAGTACCAAACATTCTCAAATTTAATAGAATTATGATAAAAGACCTGAGAATTAAGAATATTCAAACTTATCGGACAATGGTCCGATGCAAGGTCCAAGTGATTGATGACAATAAATGGAATAAGATCTAAGGCTTTTGAGTTGAGGAAGATTCTGTCTAACCTTTCCCATATACGAGCAATACCTTCCTTGTTATTGCACCAAGTGAACTTAGGTCCCCTAAGACCAATATCATGAAAATCATTCTTATTTAAGAACTCCATCATATGTTGTGAGCCTTTAGAGAACAAGGATTTTTTTCCACCTTTTTTGTCATAATTAGAAAGAATGCAATTGAAGTCTCCCCCTATAATACAAGGTTCATCAGCTGTAGTAAACCATTCAATAAGATCCCAAAGATCTCTTCTCTCCCTCACAGTTTTGCTTCCATAAATAATAGCAATGGTCCAAGCAATGCCCTTCACATCTGTTAATTTACCAATAATGCACTGGTTTGATGAAGTTAGAACATCAAACAAAGAAATACCATTTTTCCATAAGGCCAGGATACCACCAAATTTTCCTCTTGCATCAACATGAAAAAAATTCCATTTATTACCAAGAATTCTATTGACCTCATTTCTATCCATACATGCTAGTTTAGTTTCTAGTAAGCCAACAAAGAACACACCATTATCCTTAATAACACTTCTTAAATAATGGGAAGCCTCCTTCTTCTTAGCACCCCTACAATTCCAAAAAAGCAAAGATGACATTTAAGGAAATGATGGGGAAAAGCCCCCAGCACTTTTCAATTTATCTCCACTTTTCCTACCTCTTAGACTATTCTTAAGAGGTCCAAATTTTTTAGGATCCTTCTTCCCTTTATTGGATGAAACAACCTCCTCATTCTCCTTCACATATGATTTAATACATTCAAAACTACGAGGATTCCTTATAACTTCATTCTGTCCAGAAAGCATTATATTAATCCCTTCATTTCTAGCCTGAATGCTATCCACAACAGCATAAATCTGTACATCTGTATCTGTGGTAATTTGAACTGGATCACATTTTTCCTTCTTAACAAAACCTCCACTATCTGCATCTTTATCTTTAATAGACTTCACTGGAATAACAAATTCCCCTTCTTCCAATATTCCTTGCTCAACAGTAGCATTTATAATTATTTTTTTCCTTTGCACTGGGATTATATCATCCATTGTCTTTTTATTAATTACCATAACCTCTTCAAGAGAACCATGATTAGTTGCTTTAGATTTCTCTTGTATTACCACAGACCTCTCATTGAGTAATTTAGAATAATTTTCTTCAGCATTGAAAATGGATTTCTTAACAAATTTGAATCTTGGAGTTGCCACCATAGGCCTTTTACTAAAATGGACAGATTTCTTCTTACCATGATTTACCACAATCCACGAGCATATCCTTAATTATTACTTAATTTTCCTTTAACAGTAAGAAAACTATTACAATTTGAGTTTTTTATAAACAATGCCATTAGCAACACCTTTATCTCCAGCCAAAACATTTTCACTAGGATGTACAGCCTTATCATTAGCAGGTAACACCACCTTAACAGTGTTACTAGAAGAATTACATTCATTTGAATTGTGTCCAATTCTACCACAATGAAAGCATAGTGAACCAATTCTTTCATATTGAACTTCTTGAAAAAACAGCCCTAAACAACCTTCAACCCATACACCTTGATTTAGCTTTTCATCAATCTTAATGCAAACACATACTCTCGCAAATTCTCTTCTTCCCCAATTAAAAGTATTGCCATCCAGAAATAAAGGTGTACCAATTTTTGAACCAATTCTAGTAATAGTTTTTCATCCCAACAAGATAACGGAAGATGTGGTAATCTAATTCAAACTGGCGAGATTAGAATTTTAAAGGATAAAGTAGAAAAACTTGGATTCCATTCTTCCATTCCAATGATATGTCCAGCAACGAACCATGGTCCCCCACTTAAAACAGTCTCCATACTTTCAATTGAATGAAATGAATATAGCATCCAATCCATACCAAGATTGGTCTAATGAAAATAACCCAGTTCCTTCTATTGTCTCCTTTGCTCATTGCTAATAGCTCCAAAAGGAATGGACTTACCAAAACCTTTAATCACAATAGAGTTGCGTAGCTTATGGATATTTTCACTTTCATTATAAGAAAGGATTTTGACAACTATACCATCTTCTGTCATATCTACACTTTCAGGCGGATTAACAATCCTTATATAAGGTTTCCTCCAAGCATTGGCTTTCTCATAAGAATTGATAAAACCTGTTTTAATACTTCCATAATTTAATTCTCTATCAGTATTACTCTTAAACATCGTCTCATTACATGAGACATAATTAGATTTGCCAACTGATGTTTCAACAGCAGATGAGAGAATTTGTGCATAAGCCGGAACAGAGCCTGTTTTTGGAATTTCAGAATGTACCAGAGAATTCGCTAAATCATCATAGAGTTGAACATTTTTGTTAACAAGATTCAAGGAATTCGCATTTATCACACTATTGCCATGGATTGCATTTGAATGTCCGAATCTATTAACAAAAATCTTCATACCTGATGAAGAAGCATCAAGATCAAAAGTTTTAATCAGAGAAACATCAGGCCTCTTCACCTTACAAGGTGTATTGCAGTCAAAATATTGGCAAATACCTTTTCTCTTACCTTCAGTAATAATAATCTTCTTTGGAGAAATCATGTTGTTCTCCTTTATTACGTACCAATGGGCCAAAATTACGTCTCTGCAACTCTTTATTAAAATCCGGCTTTGAAAGTTCCAAATGACGACTAGCTTCCTCTCCGATTGTACAATCCTGCCAAATAGGTTGTGTCGAAATCGAAGAGTTAGGTGAAGGACGGCGACCATCTGCCATCATTTCAAACCGAAAATCGGAAAAACCGAGAATCAAAATTTCAAATGGGAGTTTCTCTCACTAAACAGGAGTTTCTACTATTCTCATTTGACTAACAAAAAAGTGACTTATAAAGGTAAATAAATTGAAAATCATAAAAGAATTGACATGATATTAAATTGATGATTTGTTTTCTTATTTTACACTATAATTGAAGGAGAAATAGAAATAATAATGGAAAATTGCTATCAACCACATTACCTTGTTAATGTTAAATAATATACCTATAAATTAAAATTAAATAAAACAAATATGATAGACTTATAAAAAAAAAATCAACATATTTGTTAATTTTCTTGATTTAAAGAAACCCTTAAGTAAATCTTTAATCTATCTAAAGAAGAATCATTGAATACACACAATACAAGAGTTAGATACATTCAAACTTTTATTTTACCTCTTACCAGCAACCCTATTATACAAAATAGACACCAAAACAGAGGCCTCCTCTTGTCAACATGATGTTTGCTCTGCTAGGGTTTTCGCCCTTGTCGACGCTCACTATTGTGTGGGTGATATCCGTCGCCTAATTCGTCTCATAGAAGTCCTCTTTCTTCTCAAGATCATTGTCTTCAGTGCTCAACTTATTTCATTTTTTTTGGTTTGATGTAATCTTCCTGGCTTCGGGACACGAGATTTTTGCATAGTTCTTCATCTGCTCTTTTGTTTAAATATGCCTTATTTGGGCATCAAATTGTTCGGTCATTTTTCCTTATTTGAGAATTTCTTCTCGCCGTGGATTGTCGGCATTGTTGATTTCGGAGGATGAAATTAAAACGCTCGTTGCTCCTTTTGAATTTTCTTTAGTAGGCAAGTTTCCTTGCCGGAGGTCTTCCATTGACGTCATTTGGAATTTTTTTTTAATCTAAAGCTTAATGGTGATTACTCGATCACTGTTCTTAATCCTATGAAAATTCCAATAAAGCTTCCTATGATTTTGATTGTTGTATGATCTTCTCTCATCATTCTTATTTTGTTAGTAATTGTTTTATGAAAGTTGTGAAATGGACCCCGACTTTGGACATTGAGGTTGATTCTCCTATCATGCCCATATGGATATCTTTTCCTTACCTTCGGCCTCATCTTTTCTCCCCTTAGATCCTCTTTTGATTGGGTTCCTTGTTCGGGCGGACTTTATAAATCGATACTGCGACGGCTTATAGTTCCCGTCCATTGGTTGCTTGCATCCATGTTGAATTGTATGTCACCGAAAATTTCTTGGATAAGATTTGGGTGGGTTCGACTAATTTCAGTTACATTTAGTAGGTGATTTTGGATGATCTCCCTCACTATTGTGAGCACTATAATTCTTTAGGTCATTTGAATGATGAATGCTGAATTTTACATCCCCATCTTAATACTATTGCTAAATCCCTTCCTGTCCTATGTTCTGTCTCGTGTGAGTTGGTTGGGGTAAATGTGGTTAATAGTGAGGGGGCAACTAATGGTGTCATTTCCCCTATGGTTCCTAATCTTGAACAAAACTTATTTACTCTCGTGCTGCCAGTGACTCCATCTGTTGTTGCTAATATTAATGTTGTGGTGGTATCTTCCTTGGATATTAATAAGAAGGAGGTTGGGAGGGATGGTTACCTTTTGGTGGAATCTAATGCTCTTATGGGTGTTGGCTATGAGGTTACACATGTGTCTTTGTTATCTAATGACCTACTATTTTGATTTCTGGAACTGCGATTGATGGTAATGTTTGGAATCTCGTAGCCTAAGCGGTTTCTAGTGTTCTTGAGGAGGGAAATTGTAAAAATTTGTGGAATGTGGGTATCGATTCTAATGTGGGTGGCTTGAGCCCTATTTGCTTGGTGAATATTGTTCCTTCCACATCTCCCCCCACCCTGGTTACTTCTCCTATCATTAGTGATGTTGATGATGAGGAAGAATTTTGTTTGGATTCTATGGTTGGGGATGCTGGTAATCATTTAGTTAACTTGGCAGTGTCAAAAACTTTTGTTGATATTCCTATTTCGGTCATGTACAATACGGAGTTGAAAGCCTATCTGGCATTGTCTATGAGTAAGTCATGTGTGGATCATTTTGATTGGTTGAATATTAGGTTTCTAATGGTGATGTTGATGGGATTGAAAATGAATTTCATGATTCACAAGATATGTATAATTTTATGGCTAGACGAGTTGTTGATCAATCTGTTTCAACTGGTGCTTGAAATAGATCTAAAAGTAAATCTAAGAAAAAAATGTGATTCATAATGTAATTGTTCAGGCTTTTCTGTTGATTTGGGACTATGATGAGGCAATTTTGCCTAACCCCGGGTTGGCTTTGAGTTGGCAACCTTGGTGGTTAGTGTAATTTTCTCAGTGCTTAGAATTTCAGTTGGTTGGTGTGGCTTTCAACTGCTAATGGATGGTTATTTCTTTGCTACTTTGTGGATGCAGGATTGCCATATTGACTCCTTTTGGATTGTAGCAGTTGTTTTGGTTTGTGTGTTTTGTCGTCTCTAATGTTGCTTGGACCTTTGGGTTTCTTCTGGTGGTGCTTTCGGTGGCTCGTGTTGCAATGAGAATTGTGTTTTCTTTGGTGATGTGGTAGCTTTATTTTGTTGCCTTGTTTTCTTTTGTTTTCTTGTAATAGGTAGAACGTTGGCTCGTAGGTTTATTTCAAAGTTTATTTTTTTAGAGAGCTGCATTTTCTTTAAGGCTTGTAATTTCTCTTAGTAATCGAGTTTCCCCTTTGCGGGTTTTTTTTTTAAATTAAAAAATAATCATTGAGTTTTTTGAGGGTTAAAAGCCTTTGAGACTGCTGGTATATTATAATAGATGTAGATGGAGCTTCAGATACTAAAATTGAAGGAGAAAATACAAATGACAAACTAAAATTGCTTTCAACCACATTACCTTGCTAATGTAAAATAATATACCTATAAATTAAATTTAAATAAAACAGATATGATAGATTTATAATTAAAAATATATTAAAATATTTGTTAATTTTCTTGATTTAAAGAAACCCTAAGTAAATCTTTAATCTATCTCAAGAAGAATCACTGAGTTTATTGAGGGTTAAAAGCCTTTGAGACTGCTGATATATTATAATAGATGTAGATGGAGCTTCAGATAGTATAACCTCATAACCATCTCTAAGGCCATCCAAGCCATGAACCAAAAGTTGCCAAAATAAACTTCCGACTCCGGCACTACCTTCCCTTGCTGAGGCATATATATTATCATATACTATTTGATAGAGACTATCTCTCTCATTCACACTAATCAACCCTGAATTTAGCCATGGCCGACCAAACTCTGTGATCAAAAGCGGCTTGCCAAGGATTTTGTCGGAGTCGCGAATGTGCACTTTGATCCATGATTGAACGAAATCAAATTGGTCTATTATACTCAAGCTTGGGATCCTGTAAATTTCAAGATATTAGTACACTTGATGAATAGTGGTGCTACATACATATAAGATCCGATTAATTAAAAGCAATTGAATAAAATTGAATATTAACTTGTTTGCTCATTTATGTTCGTGAACATACATACTACTTTGCTTCCTAATAAATAACATAATGAATATAATTTGATTATCTACTTTGTGCTCTTATATCACTTATGTTGTCTTTATGCATACTTTTTGTCATGTAAGTTTGGTGTAAATATAAAAAGGTAGCTTGATTAATAGATTACTGTTTATTTTCTATAAATAATTTTATTTTAATAAACAATATTTAGAATTAATTGATTTTCATATAGTATGATTTAAAAGTTATTTTGAAAAATTGCTTGAGAATTTTTCTTGACAAAATGTAGTAATATATTTTCAATATTCTAGAAAGCTCAAATCATTTTTTTGTATAATATTATTTAAAGTTTTTTGGAGGACATTTAGGTCAATTAAGGAAAAGTTACACATACATACACCATATACTTAAGATTTCAACCCAAGATCACTTTGCTGATAGTGAAATCTCCCGACTAATAGAACAAGGTGAGATGCCTATATGATTTAAAAGTTATTCTCAAATATTGCTTTAGTATTAGACTTGAGTAAACGAAGTAATTAGAAAACAAAATTTAGGAAAATAAAAAGAACACATAAGGGTAGATAAAATGATCAGAATTAGTAAGTTATGTATTATCTAACACTATAAAATTTTTAATAAAGTATTTTATTCGGATTTGATGTTTAAAAATAAATCAGCAATTTTGTAAGCTTTTCTAATCAAATTTAGGATAAGTAACGATATTGGTTTGTTAAATTAAAACCTACCATTGTTCCGGATAAATATGTATTGTGGCAAAATCAATTTCAGGAACAAGATTATTGGAAATAAAATCGGAGCCAACTACATCATCGCCAGGATTAAATTGCTTCCTCTCAACAATGGAATCTCCATAGAACCCTTCTAATCCAATTTCAAGGAGGTGATTTTTGTCAATTGTTTTAACATAAGCTGACATCTCTTCAATCCAAACCTGCTTATTCATAAGTAAGATAAATTAATAATCTCATTATTAATTACGTTATGTAAGAATGATAAATTTATCAATTAGTTGTTAATATACTCAAGAATAACATATTAACAAATTAATTAATTACTTGTATTGTGTCTCCAGAGATATCACTATTGCATCGAGGCTCGTTGATCAGTTCCCATGCTAATATGATAGGATCATCCCTGTATTGTATCCCAGAGATCGAGTTGTTTCTTGTAAGAATGGTCTGTTTGAATTTATCAAGAAAAATTAATAAGAATTATTTAATTAAATAATATTTAACTAATTAATTAGGGAAAAATAAATAAAAGTAATTAGGCGTAATGATATTTACATACTTTGACATGGTTCTTGTAGAATCTCCTCACAAGATCATTAGTGAAGAAATCATCTGGAGAAGATATGGATTGACCTTTCTCTCTTGCCCATTCTACATACTGTTTCTTGCCTCCAAACTCCTCATAATTATTAACTAAGCTTAGGATGAGAAAAACTCCATTCTTCTTTGCCTCAGATAGCACAAAATCTAACCCCTGAGGTATATTCTTTATTTATTAAATGAAGAATCGAGTCAGGTTTTAAACCTAAAATCCTATGTAAATGAGTATTTTAACAAAATAATATAATAAATAAACATATGATGTATATGCATGCATAATGAATAGATTATAATTTGGAACCTTAAACATTTTCTCATCGTAAAATCCTGGAGAAGTCTGTAGAGGAATGTAGTCATCAGCATCACTGAATGCCCAAGTCCTTACAACATTGGTACCTAATAAAGAAGCCTGTTGCAAAGCGATAGAGACTTTTTCTTTTTCTGTTGGCTCGGAAGCCCTACTCATAAGCCAATAAGCGTTTAAGCCATTTATATAAAATGGCTGGCTATCTTTAACAAACTGTGTGCCATTTACTTCGATAAAGATTCCTTTAGCACTTTTCCTCTCCTGATCAGTTACAGGTAAGTGAAGACAAAGTATAGCTGTGAAGCTGCATGCTGCAATAAGCAGGAAGACATGAATGTTTCCCTGCATTGTTACTAAAACGGTTAGAGGAGGAGAGAGAGAGAGAGAGAGAGAGAGAGAGGTTTCATATTCATTTTATAGTGATTTTGATAAGAACAGATGGAGATCAAAGAAGGAAAGAAGGGTAGAAAAGTGAGGAAGAAAGTTATTAAAGTGTTTGATTTGAACTCTACAGCAGAAGATGTAGAGACGGGTAAGTTAGTTTTGATTTGATGGATTTGCTTAAGAAAAAAATACATTAAATAATATGAAGTAATAGATATACTTTGAATAGTATGGAGTAATAGAAAACGCTTGAGTGAGGCTGGAAAATGGCCGATTTTTTTTCTTAATTTGTATTTGATGTAAATGATTTGTATATGAAATTTGTATACTTTTGTCTAAGGGAGATTTTTTTTAGTTTTGAAAAATAAATTAATGTCCCAACTGAACAATCTATAAGAAAAAATTTGAATTTGAGTTTACCCTTTTAATAAATGAGTTGATTCAGATCGTGAATTTCAACCAGTTTATTAAAAAGATTGCGTTCGGATTGACCCATCAACTCGAGTTTGACTCTAAATTGAGT